AGGATGGGAAGGGGCAGGGCACTGAGTTTTCCAAAAAGAAATGTGTTGTCATATCTGTGATAATACTTCTAAAAACAGAATTTTCAGGAGATGTCTTAGTGTGTTAATAAGTTATATAGATTCATTAAGCATATGTATGGTTTGTATAATGTTGTATAATGTTGAAATCACATAGGCTGTGATTTCAATGTTACTGATGAGCTGGAGTTTGGTTTTATGGGTTAATATATTTAGTAAAGTTGGGGGGGAGGGTATGCACCCAATTGGAGGAGTGTATATAATAGTTATCTGCTAAATTTCAATATTCTTATAGCTAAAAGTTGAAAAAAATTGTGACATGTAAATGGTAAAGAGAGAAGGACAACTTTTCTCTCTGGTGAATAGGTGAGCACATACATCCCAGGTCAATAAGAAGACAGGTTCGTGTTTGCTTTCCAAAATTTGGATATCTAAGTTATATGTTTTCCTGAGTTTAGAAAGTTTTCTCTTGAAACAGCAGATTGACAGAAGCTGAAAATGTGCCATGCAGAGGTTAATAGTGTGTGGAGTGGCAAGAGGCAGCTACGTATAGTCTTCAAGGGGTTTTGTGCCAAACTCAGGTCTAAAACTGCTCTCAACAAATTTATATTTTTACTATCTTCAAGAAGGTAATTCACTGTTGCCAGGCAGTTTTGTTTTTTTTTTTTTTTTCAACAAAGGATTTTGTAGTCCTGCATATAACACTGCTATTTCTAGAAAGAAGCTGAGATCTTTTGTGTAGGTATGCTTTAGGAAACTAGCATAATACTGAAAATTAGAAGTTCAAATTCAGTTCATTCTTAAACATAGCAATGATGTCAGACTTTTTGAATATGCTAAAGCTTTTTAATTGCTCACTTTTTGTAGGGATGCTGAATTTGGAAAGGGTTTGTTTCCCACTTAAGCAGTACCAGGTGCTCCTTAAGGCATCTCATGAAGTGGTCTTCTTCAGCTGGATGTTGAGACCAAGATTTTGAAATCAGACTGAGTGTTCTTGGCATTTTGATTCTAACCCAAATATATTTATTAATATATGGTTCTTTGTGAACAAAGGAGTGGTGTTGTGCAGCTCTTCAGGTTTAGAGTCTGTTGCTCTTCAGGGGAAGAGTCTGGGATATGAGTCCTATGAGGAGTGGCTGAGGGTTCTGGAGTTATTTAGTCGGGACAAAAGATGGCTCAGGGGAGACCTTATTGCTCCACAACTACCTTCAAGGAGGTTGTATTGAGGTGGGAGTCGGCCTCTTCTCCCAGGCAACTAGAGATAGGACAAGAGGAAATGCCTTTAAGTTGTGCCAAGGGAGGTTCAGGCTGGATATTAGGAAAAGTT